AAGTGCAGCCCCGAGCTGGACGTTGCGTCAAGAGCCCAAGGCCCTAGATGATTGTTTTAACCAGTACAAGAACCCTATTGCCAAGCTGGACTTGGATTTGTTCCGCGAAAAAGTAAAGGGATGTGCATGGACAGGTCACTTGAGAACCGATACAGATTCTATCGCTGGGGCTATTGGTGCCGCAGACCTCTTCGATGGCATCGCTGCGCGTTCAAGTGAAATGAACGATGAGTCGAAGTGGGTGCTGAATCAGTATACTGTAGCCAACCCCGAATACATTGGTGATCTCCCAGACGAAAAGATATGTCTTGTCGATGTGAACCAAATCACATAGCTACCTGCAGACATAGACCCAAATCGCATAGTAGGTATTGTGGATCATCACCCACTGCTGTCCAGCACAGTGGTAATTGATGAACCCATCCGTATAGATATTCGGCCGGTTGGTAGCACCTCCACCATTGTTGCGTGCTACTATGGCTCGGCAAACAAACCAATGAGCGAGGACATAGCAGGTATATTGATGAGCGCAATCCTTTTGGATACAGTGAATTTGAACTCGCCTACAACAACGGAGTTCGACATAACGATGCTTTCGTGCCTGGCAACGCAATCAAATACGAAAGACATAGATACATACGCCGACGCAATGTTCCAAGCCAAAGCTAATGGATTCAACAATCTTGATGACGATGAGGTAGTACGTGCAGACACCAAAGTCTTTGACCTGTGTAGCAATACAATTGTTTGGCCCACTGTAGAAACACTGACCCCGCTTCAATGATGGCTCGTAAGCAGGCGCTGGCAGATTCCATGAAGGAGTTGAAAACAGAGAAAGACACAAAGTACGCTTATCTGTCGATTGTCGGTATTGTAAACTTAGATACTAATTTGATACTTATCGGCGAGGATGAGACGGAATTGGCAGTCTATGCGTTCAAATCACAAGTGAACGCTGATGAAGCGCTGGTAATGAATATCGGCAACCTGGTGTCACGGAAAGATTTCCTCCCGACTGTTCAGGCCATCATCTGTAGAGATGACGAGTAATCGGTATTTGAAAATAAATACAATCATGTCCATCGCGAAA